GTGTGTGTGTGTGTGTGTGTGTGTGTGTGTGTGTGTGTGTGTGTGTGTGGAGATGGCAGCCCTCTTGGCCGCAGCAAGGGAATCCGAAGTTCTCCATCATGGCTCATTTGTCCACCTTGTCAACTCACTGCTGGGAAACCAGGGGCAGGATAGGTGGATCGAGGAAGTTTCAGGGGTGTAGCAAATGGGACCGGGCCCTAATAGGAAGAGGGTGTGGGGGGACACTCCAGGCTCTTAGGGATCCCCAATACCCAGGAGAGAAAGACCTGATCAGGCCCTGTTTCTGGACTGGGTAACCCATTTGTCAGGTGAGACTGAGGCTTGACCAGGACAGCAACTGGCTCAAAGTCTAGGTCAACCCAAGGAGGGTGCCCTGTGTAGTCCCAGTGTCACCCTATACCCAGGAGAAGAGAGCTAGTCCTGCAAGAGTCTCATTAATTCAACACTGAATGCAGATGTCTGCCAGGCCGCATAGGGCGGAAGGGTGTACACGGGCAGCATCCAGCCTCCGAGGCTCTCTTGTGCTCCAGGGACAGACAACCTCCCCTGAAATGCAACGAAACCATGTCCAAGGCACTGTGAGAAGAGACCATAAGAGCTGCCTGGAGGTTTCAGGAAGGTGTTCCAGAGAATACATTTAATCTGGGCCTGGAGAGCTTTGCTAGGGACAAGGAGCAGGGAGCTGCCAGCATGGGGAACAGCTTGGGCCCAAGTCTGGGATCATGAAAGGAACAGACCAGGGATCAGGAGCACTGAGGGGTTGGGGAATAGCATGGCAGTGACTCAGGAGAGGAAGAGGGGATATGAGTCTATGTTAGAAAGATCTCCCCTGCCAGGATCACAGGGGTTGGCCGGCCTCTAGAACTGTCAGCAAAACTGGGTGGATAAGGCACTTTTTTTTTGAAGAAAGGGTGGAGGCCTCTACTACCTTCTGTATTGTATCTATAAGCTAGACTAGAAGCTCTGTGAGGGAAGGGAGGGACCAAGTGTGGTTTCTGGGATAAGCCCAGCCCCTGACAGAGGGCCTGGCTTGCAGCTGATGTCCCATATGCACATGTTACGTACAGCAAACTCACAAAGGGACCCGCAGCCCAGGAAGAGTGGGGATGGCCAAGAGTGGGACAGCGGAGGAAAAGCCGCTGGAGGCAGGAGGGTGGATAAGAACATGTGGGGCAGAGGGCAGGGTGTCTCCTGCTGGCGGGGATGTCACGGGGGCTGATGCCAGGCTATAGGGGGTCTGGTTCTGCCACCGCCGAGAGGGGAGACAGGAGGGTGCGGCAGGGCTAGAAAGCATGCCGGGGAGAGGCTAGACTGGGGCATATGGCTCAGAGCTGTCTGGGGGCATATGCCTGCCGGGAGCTAGTGCTTAGCTGGCAGCACTAAAGACAATCTTATCCCCTAGAAGAGGGTGAAATCACCCACAAGTGGATGAGGGAGGGAGGAGAGGAGGGAAGCCCCCAAGACAGGAAAGTTCTAGCACTGATGGAGTGGTTACAGGCACAAAAGGTCCAGAAGAGGGGAGGGGACACAGAGCCGGTGGCCCCAGGCCAGTGGCTGCTGAGAGGCCTGGAGGTCCGGGGCTATGAAGCTCTGAGGTTGCGAGGGTCTCTCAAGAGCCACAGCCACGGGCAGCGGAGGGGTGTCATTAGAGGGCAGAGGCCAGCAGGGCAGAGGGCCGTGGATGATGACAGGGAGGAGTCAGCGGACTCTGTGTGATGGTGGAGGGGAGAAGCGGGACGGGCAGCACCTGGGGGAGGGACAGGCACTGTGATGGGAGGGAACGCTTTTATAAGGGAAGTGATGAGAGAGAGTTGGTGATAGAGGAAGGCTGAAGTCCTCGCTCGTGACTTCCCAGATGCATCCTGGAGTCGTCTCCCACTAAACATTGCCAAATGGTGGGCTTTTAGGCCCCGAGGCAGATCCTTTGAGAAGTTTTAGGGCCAAGAGGGGACTTCCACAGGGAAAGCTGTATTTGATGATCAAATTGCCTTCAACCATCCAGAGACCTTCCCATTAAGCATCTATATGCTGCAGGACTCTGGGCTGCCATAACCAAAGGGACCCAGAGCTTCAGGGAGGAATGGGTGTGGTCAAGAAGGGGGACGGGAACTAGCCCCATCTTTTCAGGGAGGAGGGAGGTGCGTTCCTCACCTGCCATTGCCGTACTTGATGCGAATGTCGCGGCTGCGGTTGAGCTCCTTGCCATCCTTGAACCAGCGGTAGGAGGGCTGAGGGTTGCCCGCTGCGGCCTCGCACTTCAGTGACTGCTTCTCACCCACCTGCCCCGTCTGGCTTTTCATCTTCTTCAGCTTGGGCCGGGTGGCTGTGGGGAACAAGGCAGGAAGGTCAGTATGGTGGTAGGGCGCGTTGCCAGGTGTGTGCAGTGGAGGGAGGGCACGGGGTTATTTCCTGCTTCAGTCAGCAGTCACAGAGGGTCTGCAATGATGTCAGTGTGGCTATGACCTATGGGGCTTCCTTCATGCCTGGAATGACACTAGGAGCTTTATATACATTAGCTTATGAAAAAAACCCATGGCCTCACTGCAGGGATAAAACCCCTTTACAGATGGGGAAAACTGAGGCTCAGAATGGTGCAGCCACTTTCTCAGGGTCCGTTGGGATTCAAATCCAGGTGCCCTTGACTTTGGGGCTCATGCTCTAACTCCTATCCCAGACGCCCAGGCCTATGTTGGGCCTGGAGGATGCAGGAGGACCAAGAGGATAGAGTTCCTGCCCCCAGAAAGTTCAGGGCGGCAGGAGAGCTACAATCTGAGACTAACATCATAGCATGGTACACAGAGGCCTGGAGGTGCTGAAACCTAGAGGAGCGACCCCAATGCAGGCTGGGGGAAGAGTGGCCTGAGCTAAGAGCGGAAGGATGCTAAAGTGCTAGAAGGAATAGGAAGGCAGGTGAGCAGGTGTCTGGGAGACAAGGCCTGGGGCTCCACTGGGGGGACACCAGCCCAACTAGGGCTGCAGGCCTGCAAATGCCAAGCTGAGAGGCTTCTCCTACTTTTCTTACACAGGATTCTATTTCTACTTGCCCAGATCTCCCATGCCTCATCTCCTCACTCCCCTCCCCACAATAACCTAAAAAAGGGGGGTGGGGGAAGTTCTCTGTTCTCAGAAAGGTAAGGGCCAGCCTGTGTTCCCTGCTGAGGTATGTAATGATTTCCACTAGGACAGTCCTTTATAGGTTACACAATGCCTTCTGCATGCTCTCATTCAGTCTCTAAGCTCTGTGAGGCAAGGGTCATTGCAGACATCGATGGGGAAGATGAGACTCAGAGAGGTTAAGAAACTTGCCCCAGGTCACACAGCCAGGCAGCCAGGCAGCCACAGAGCTGGGACCGAAGCCCAGGTATCTGCGTTTGCAACATGTCAGGCTCAGAGTGGGCTGTGTCTGCTTTTGCAGCGTGTGTCCCTTTTTGGGGAACAGAGAACATAACTGAAATTCCTCCAATAGCAGAAACCAGGGTCTGTTGGGCCAGGGAGCTGTCTGGGGACCGAATGGTCCCGTCTCGGCCAACTCTGAATGAAGGCAGCCAAGAGGGCCTGGCTTTTGCTAGGGCTCCCACACTGAACCTACCCCTGAACGGCTGCTTGTAAGCAGGCAGGAGATGAGAGTGGGGTGCTCGGATGGTGAGAGCAGATGAGAAAGGGCTCCAGAAGCTTCAAACATGACATTACACAGTGCTTATGAAATGATTTTGTTCATTTTAGAAAATTTTAAAAATACAGACGGATAAAAGAAAACAAAATCATCCACCATCCTGGTACTCAGAAGTAAGGTACACACACGTACACATGCAGTGTAAATAAAGGGGCTCAGCGCCGGTAACACGTTTCTTTTGTTTAATGAAAGAAATGTAAGTCTTTGAGCTTGGCATTAACTAGTAATGACAGCATTTCCCAAACCAAATTCTACAGGACGTGAATATCCAGAGAGATGATAATAGACGTTACTTGAGAAAAGGGTTCCATGAGCAAAAGAGTTTGGGGAATGGGTGGGGAACAGAGTTAAAGACGTATCATCGCTGACTTTGGAATGATTCCCCAAGCAAGGGTCTTAGAACTTTTTTCCTCAGATTTCCACAGGTTTCCTCAGAACCTGTGGTAGCATTTCAAGGAAATAAAGTCATGTGGAATAGCTCTGTAACATAACTTATGGGTGCGAGTACACATAAATACACCTTTTGATAATATCTTCACAGAATTCAAAATTCAAGAAGTAGGTATAAGAAGGGTATAAGGCTTGAGAAACAAGTCTCCCTCTAACTTCTGACCACAGTCACATGGGGGCCTTTGCAGGAGGCAACCAATATTATCAGTTGCATTTCTATCATTTCAGAGACCTTCTATGTACATGCATAAGCCCCAAGTGTTCACACACACAATTTTCTTATTTTTCATGGTTGCATACTATTCCTTTATCAGCCCCAGAATTGGAACCAATTGACAGAACCAATTCCGATCCTGGCGTATTCAGCGTGTTTTCTCCCCACTGCCACCTCATTACAAAAGAGCCCAGCCCTGCCCAGGATATATATGCAGCGTGCCTGTCGTGTGCACGCAGGGCTCACCCTTCGCACACATCCGGCGTGTGCTGCCGGAAGGGCAGTGTGGCTCTTGACTCAGACCGTCCAGATTCAAATCCAGGCTTCGCTTCTCATTAGCTTAGTGTCCTCAGGTCACTGACCTAATCCTTCTGTGCCTCTGTTTCCTCACCTGGGAAATATTGGTGATAATAATAGCTCCTCTCTCACGGGAGGATGGCTGTGAGCAGCGCACGAGACAATGCACGTAAAGTCTGGCGTGCACAGAGCATTTAATAAAGGTTAGCTATTACTGTTTATTACCATCCACAATAATTTCCTAGGGCACTCTTCCTAAAAGGGGAATGGCTGCATCAAAAGGGCATGCGATCTTCCTTAGCTTTAAGCGGTGCCAAATTGCCTTCTGGAAAAGGTTGCACTAGTCTGCACTCCCACCAGTGAATGGCAGTGCCTGTTTTTTCCACACCCTCACTAACATGAGGTGTTATCACATATTTAATCTTCGCCAATTAGCTAGGCAAAAGATAACGTCTCTTTGTTGTTGTAGTTTGAGTTTATTTGATTCCTGGGGAGGCTGACCACTTTTCATAAATGTATTGGCTCATTGTCTTTCTTCTATTTGAACTGTCTGTTCATGTCTATACTGTTTCTCTACTGGGTGCTCATCTTAGTGATCCATAAGGGTGGTTTTTTTTTTCTTGTAAATATTAAGGCTATTAACCTTATGCTCTCTATATTTTCCCCAATTACCTGCTGCTTACAGTTTTTAATGCTGATTTGGGGGTATGTTTTTGGACACCCAGAAGTTTTATGTGAATTAACCTAAGTGTGACTGACGTCCTATGTCAGTATCCTTGCCCCTTACCTACACCACTCTCTCCTTCATCTGCTTGCTCTGGGGTCCCTAGTCACTTCTTATCAATAGTTCTTCTTTTTGTTTGTTTTTTTTTTTTTTTAAGATTTTATTTATCAGAACAAGAGCAAGCACAAGCAGGTAGAGGGAGAAGCCGGCTCCCTGCAGAGCAACGAGCCAGATGTGGGGCTCGATCCCAGGACCTTGGGATCATGACCTGAGCCAAAGGCAGCCGCTTAACCAGCTGAGCCACCCAGGCACCCCTCCTTATCAATAGTTCTTAACCTTAGATGCTACTGAGCACCACAACGGAAGCTTTAAAAATTTCTGTAGGTGCCTGGAACATCTAGATGTTCTGAAGCAGAACCTGTAAAAGCGGGTCTGGGTGTGTGGGCTTTAGAAACATATAACATAAAGGAACGCACACTTCTTGTCAGTATACAGCTTAATGACTGGTGCCAAGCTAAAAACCTCTTCATGGGTGGCTTTCCTCTAAAGTTGGGTTGACACCTAGTGATCACTAACCTCTTGGTTAACTGGTAATCTCCAACTAGTCTCCTCCTCCTCATGAACTGGGGACAGAGCTCTTCTCAAGTTTTAGGGTGCCTACCCCCACTGCATGGGGAGTGTTGACCTTTCTTGCAGTTCTGACACAAGGGGGCCTCCTGCCCTCCACCCACCAGGTGGGAAGAAATGGTGGTCACTCTACTACCTTGTTTCCTGACATGAGTCCTGGTATGATACTATGCACCGAGCGGGGGGCCACTGCTCATGGTGGCAGTGATGGGGAGGGAGTGCGGACATACAGCCTGATCCCAGACACAGCAGGCATGAGCCCATGTTAGGGGGCCTGAGGAGACAGGGGCTCCAGAGGCATTCCCTGTGACCAAAGGGAAATCCGGGACTGCATTTCAGATCACACTCTGTCTAGGGAGAATTCTGTGTGACTTGATAGCCATTTCTTGATTGTCTCCTCACTCACTTCAGAACAACCCCACCTGGTTCACTTGTTCCTCGTTTGTTCATTCATTCGACCTATGGCATGCCAGGCACTGTTGTGGGCCCAGAGTATACAGTAGTGAAGAAGACAGATAAGATTCCTGCTCTTAGGGAACCTGAGTTTTAGTGAGGAGAGATAAGAGCAAATGATCAATAGGGACTATGAGGCAGTAATAAGCAGCTGGATAAAGGCCTCGAGGTGAGAATGAGCTTGGTGAGCTCAAGGACTAAAAGAGGCTCATGTGGCTGGAAGATTCTGGAAGGCAGCGGGAGTGTGAGGGGAGCCTGGAAGGGTAGGCCCAGTGATAGATGTGGAGCTGTCTGAGCCAGGGCAAGAAATCTGGATGTTTTGCCCCTTTTTTCTTTCTTCTTCTTCTTCTTCTTCTTTTTTTTTTTTTTACTTATGTGTCTACTAGAAAAGTTTAAATTACATATTTGGGTTGCATTATATTCCTATTCAACAGGACTGGCCTAAAGGATGAAAAAATAAAAATAACCATACATTTGAATCATGCCATGTTCTTTACAAAGTCTTCTTTTGCATCTATTAACAGTTCCTCGCCAGACTCATCTAAGATACTAAAAACCATGCCTCCCGTTCTAACAGTGTCTAGTCTTGGTCCCTGTTCACAGAAATCTTAGTTCACGGCTCTCTGAAAGCCAAACACAGGCTTTTTGAAAGGGAATAGGACTTAGCATAGGCTGCGTGTTTTTGTTGTTGTTTTGGTGTGGGGTTTTTTTTGTTTGTTTTTTTGTTTTGTTTTGTTTTGCATCAGGCAAGTCCCTTGAGGGGGAGAGGAAGTGGCTCAGGGGGCAGGAAAGAGAAGACCCTTGAGGTGGCAGTCACAACAATACCCAGAGGACCTCTGCACCCTCACTCTGGGTCCAGAGCCTCCTTAGGCTTTCTATGTGAGG